GAATTGGGCGATCGAGCCTTCTTCCTCCCTCGCCGTGCCACCAACGCTCTCATCACCTCACCGCATCACCGTATAATTCTGGTTCAAAATCCCAACGCCAATCTGATCTCATCGACCAACAAACACTCCTTCACTCCCCACGAAAGAGCGAGAAAGAGAGGGGTAGTTAGAGCGAGTGCTGGGAAGAAGCATGACGAATGGCTTCGTTGAGCTCTTGATCAGGCGATCGATCCGGATCTGGCTGTGGGATGGGACGAACGGGGACTGCGGATTAATGAGACGGCGGGGAAGGGGAGAGGAGGGTATATCCGAAGAGTACGAGGGAGTGGATCGCTTGTATGGATAACGAGGATGCAATCAAGAAGCTCCGTTAGACGGAGCGACGAAGAGATTCGAACGCCATTGTCTGCCGGCAGCGATGAGGACGGATTGTCTGGTTCCGGCCCCAAAGGAACACCAGAAACCAATGCCCTGGCCCCAAAACAGAGATGAAGTTGGTAATGTCTTTCTTTCTGACTCTGTCGAATACTTGCTTGATTCAGTACTCCGGCGACTTGTTTCCTTCTTCGTCTGTCTTCTTGTAGATATAGCTAATGATTTGCTCCTGTTAGCTCTGTTTACTTCTCCACATGTGTGAATGCTTGAAATAGCATTAAGAATCAAGAGTGATTCTTGATTGGTACTGGTTTCCATTAGCTCCTTGTATCAGGCGACCCTTTCGTGATTCGTTAAGCATGTTATTACTGTTGCCCTGTGATCTGTAACCATCACGGGATCTTTTTTCTTTGAGGCTGTTAATTAGGAGAGTGATGTAGAGATGACTGGCTGAAATTGATGATCTGGATTCTTTAATAGTGCTCTCATTTGAGACTAAGATTACTTGTTGAATTAGGACACTATGCGAAGGTTGTCTCGAAAACACATTCAATCTTGGGAGGGTAAGTTCCAGAATAACATTCTCCGGAAAACACAACATTGTTGTGTGTGCAACAATTGTAAACAAAGGCTTTCCAAAATCTACATTACTCAGCCAAACCCTTCAATTCTAATTGCCAAGAACACTTACAATTGATGGGTCACAAAATTTTGTTTCTATGGTGTATGCATTCTCAACTGCTCCATAGGAAGGAAAGTTTGATCCACAGGCACAAGATCCAAGGGGAGTTAGAATTCATCTGAACTTCTAATGTTTATCGATGTATACTTTGTCATTTTCAATTTCTCATAGCTATAGATATCCTTCCTGTTGCACTCAAATACCAGGTATGGTTTAGCAATGGTAATGCACAGGATAATATTATACATGGAGCAGATCAGTATCTGGATCAGATTCCTTGGATAATATCATCTCCATAATTATAATTTATGTTTAAGCTATACCTTTGCTGTTTATGTGTTCTTCATTTATCTATTAGCAGTACGCTTATTTCTTTCACTAGATATGCAGATGGTTCCAGATATTGCATTTGGTAATCACACGAGTTGCCCCAGATGTTGGTTGTGGCGTAGCAAGCTTCGGTGCCGTTCTACTCTCACACAATGTGAGCACCATGTCCATAGCTCCAAAATATGTTCATGAGAATCAGATTCAGTTTGCTCTTGAACATGGTGTGTCTGCATTGGTTGCAGGTTTTGCAACACACTGGTTGCCATATCCAAGCCAGGCATTTGACCTAATTCATCGTTCAAGATGTAGAACCAACTCCACTCGCGACGGTATGCAATTCTGTAATTCCTGGAAACAACTTCTCAGTAGTTCTTATTTGTCATGCTTGAAGATTATAGTGACAGGCAAAGTATCCAAATACTGGTGTCCAGTACTCACACCATCAACCTCTATCTTCTTGCCATGACTCATTTCCGTATCAGGTTATAGCCAGGCTTTCCTTGTTGGTCTGAACCAAGATCACGGTGGTTGAATAATGTAGAGTAGAACCAACATGCATTTTCCAACCAAAATCATTTACCTTAGTTGAGGAATGTAGCATTTAGGTATGGTTATGATCAGCTCTCTTTGGGCCAATTTGCATGCCACAATTCAGCCTGCCCATCATGGTGCATGACATAAGCACACAACATTGGCATGCATTAGGTTTGTCACGTTGTCGCATACACTTACATTTTCTCTTCATCTCAGGTGCAACATTTAGGGCATCCCATGCTTATGTTCGTGATTCAAGATACGCATGGAAGATATTTTAGGTATTGCACAGACCACGGGATACTGTTCAAGGTCCATTACTGTGCGCCTTCCCCTAAGAGTTGTGCAGCTTGTTACATATCTATTCTCTTAAATTCGTTTTGCTTCTTCCTGCAACGTTTTTATGGGCAACCGAGCTAAAATGTGTGCAGGCTCTTTCTGATCTCTCTGTCAGCCAAGCTCCCAAGTGGTGGTTTTGTCGTAGCAGCTATACCTGTTCTTATCCAAGTCAACCCATGGATAGAACTGCTGCATCATCCAGTTCAGTCATTACATCACTTCTGCAGTATGTTTGAAGCTTCCCGAGCGAAATCAACCATGGCCGCTGTGCCAGCTCAGTCTGATACAGAGACAGGAGCTCAAGGTAAAAGGTTTCAATCACCATGTCCGACCACTTGCCTTAATAATAATCTCCACTCTTTGTTTCACATCATGTAAGGTATATGAGCATTGTTGTTGTTTTCCACATGTTTCCGCATGCCGTACCAAATCGACGGAGACCTTCACCTTCTTCTTTTTCTTGGGCAGAGACAGATACCTGCATTTAAGGCGGGTCAGAGGAACACGCGTCTCAGTTAGTCCAAGTAGATCCGGAAGATAGATCAGGTCAATGCAGACGCTGTTGCTGTGTTGCAAGATTAGCAACAAGATGCAGAGGAACTCGCGTGTCTTAGTTAGTCCAAGAAGTTCCGGAAGAGAGATTAGGTCAATGCATCAGTACAATGCTAAGATGAAGAGCATGCGGTATATGCTGCAGTCATCCACAAGCACACATCGTCTCCACAAGAGCAAACTGGTACACGAGCTTTACTCGTTCTCAGTCCAACTTGATCATAAGAAAGTGTGATTCTACTAACCAACACCAATGATCCTTCAAAATCCTATCTTTATATATAGCTACGTATCTCTGGTCCTTTCGCCGTCGTCTTGCAGCAGTGTGTCGCATTCATTCCCTTTGATTAAAGCGTGGGACCTATGACACCACCTACTCTCCCCACCATAAACAACTCATTACCTTGATACTATATTTCAACTCTCAGAACTCGGTGTTCTCAGATGAGATCAGCACAGTCGAGGAAGAAGAATCTCCACCAACTGGGACAGCCAACTGCGAGCAGTAACAACAACAAGTGCAATTCATGTCACATTCTTCCATATACATATCTTACAGCCACTGGCAATCTTTGTCGTTTCAAGGAAATCAGTAAATGAGATGATACATACTTGTTTGATCCAATTGAATCGGTAGAGGATGAAGGAGTTTAAGATCATCCACACTATGCCTTGACCAGCAATCATGATGATCTGATCAAGGTTGGTTGATAATATCTGGATTCGCAGTACCTGTGTGATTTGAATAATCTGAATGATTGAGTGTTAATGGCATGCGTGAGACAAATAGGACGCTTCAAAAAGGACAGTCATGCTTTACATTGTTTCCATCTACATTTCAAAATACCACTACTAATACCTCGGTATTAAGTAACCCTCTGTACGAGACAAACAGGACACTTCAAAAAGGACACTCATGCTTTGCATTGTTTCCATCTCCATTTCAAATACCACTCATCATGAAACCTCAGATACATGTCCCCATCAATCTCTCACTGCTACCAACCAGTCACCCCTGGCTAGTAATAGTATGACACATTGGTATTTTAATCTGTATGCAAAATTGGATCTTCAAACACTGTTGTTTAACTTCAGATTATACTGTTAATAACTGTTGTTCTCCACTTTGGAGAGGGAAAGAAAACTCGAAACTAAAAAAAAAACCCTCAAAGATCAACAAATAAATAATATATTATAATAAAATTTCTAAATTATTCTCGTTTAATCTTCTTGTGCACTCTCTTAAATTAAATTTGGATCATGAAACACTGTTGCTTAAGATTATACTGCTGTGTTCTGCACTCAAAAGCAGTGGACTGTAAAAAAGTGCAGCAACCAAAGTAGAAGTAGCTTCAACTGATGATGTAAGGGGGCCGAACTCTACCTGCAGGAGGAGGCTGTTCGAGTTTATCTCTCCATCGATAAGAAGAGTCTTTGTTTTCTGACCCAACTTGGATACAGATATGCTTTGCTCTAACAATATTCCATTTGCCCTCATCCACATAAGCAACTCCCCACCAGCTTCTGATCGGTAGCCCGTGAGCTCACCTCTTCTTCCTCCGAGCACAGAGCCAGCCATGGAGCAAGCAAGGTATTGGATGATAACGAGCAGGAATCTGAACGAGATGCCGTTCCTTAGCTCTCAGATCCCTCCGCTTGGTGTCAGCTCTTCGTACGATGCCGAGTCATGGGAAGAACAGGCGTTCGCCAGAGACTCCGCAGGAGATTTAGGAAGCTGCGTATGGCCTCCCAGGTCGTATTCGTGCAGCTTCTGCGGGCGAGAGTTCCGATCAGCTCAAGCACTCGGTGGCCACATGAACGTGCACCGGAGGGATCGCGCCATGCTCAAACACTCTCCGAGCCTCGATTCCTGCACACCAACAGGCGCGGCATGTCCGCCCCCGATCGCCTCTCTGGATCAGAGAGCTCTTGTCAACCCTAACCCTAATTTATCGTCTATCTCTACTAGGGTTCCTGCTGCTGCATCCAGACTGGAGTGGAAGGAACGCGACTCCATATCTCCCTTGTACTCCTCGTCTGTTGTCGGGGAGAACCGAAAGCGATCGCTCTTCTCCACAGCTACAACCAGCACCGAATCAGCAACTCTACAGCTATTCTCTCTCCCAGAACTAAATCTGCACAAGAGGAATTCTCAAAGGTGGAAAGATGAGGACGATAGCGATGACTACAACAGCTGCTGCAAGAGAGTTAGGAGAACCGACTCAGTGCATCCCTTCCGTGTTCGACCATCTTCTTCGGGGGAGACGCAACCGCTGCACCCTGAGGTCCTCAAACATGATCATGGCCCCGTTGAAGAGTTGGATCTTGAGCTTAGGCTTGGAGACAGCCCTCAGGTTAAACCTTTGTGCTTGGATGAAGATAGATAGATAAATACATATCTTTCCCTCTTTGGTTCTTCCCATCTTCCTTCACCAAAATTTCTCGGAATTGATCTTGGAGTTTCTCGAATGGATGTCATACGCTAGAATGGTGTTACTACATGTAGAAGAAGAAGAAGTCTCCAAATATTAATTGTGTTGATTTGCTCAGTATAGCGCTCTGAAAATTGTACCAAAACAGATGGCATTTGCACTACTGGTGATTTCTCGTTCTTGACAATATGCTATCACTTGCTTGCACACAGTTGATCTTTCAAGAACTTGATAATAATTCTTCCATCCAAATGCTTATTCTATCCCTTCAAATTGTCTCCTTTTACACAGATTCTATATATTTTGGTGTTGTATGCGGCTGTAAATGACTGTGTGTTCCTGCTACCTCTCTCTCTCCATCTTCTTTGGCTCAAGTGCATGCCTGAGAGAGCCTTGAAGTTGTGTTGCTTATCCAGCCTATCAAGCAGTCCGACAGACACAGAACTAAACAGCTGCATGTGAGCATGTTTTAGGGTGTATACGTTGTGATGCATCGGTACAGTGATTCCGGCCCCTTTCTGAGGCACCATTCCAGCATCACCCACATCCAGTCTTCTCCCTAAAACTCCCCTGCTGAAACCATTACAATATCATGCATCCAGGGGAATGGAATCGACCGGTTTCCGCGCTGCTTTTGTTTCTTCTGCTGCATGTATCTCCTCGTTGTGGGAGACCCGAGAAACAGCTAGCAAATCAGCTCACCCCTTCGTTCCAAACAAAACCAATGATGCACACACCATTCCAACTTTGACTTAATGCACTGCGCAAGGTTTTATGGTGCGCAACAGAAGAATTTAAGAACATACCAAACTGATGCTTTCCCCTACGAGGAGTTGTGATGGCGAAAACACCTCAAAAGATGAATGCTCCGGTACGAGTGTTCCCAGTTCGAAGTTGCCTAGTTGGTGTAAGAGGAAGGCTTTGTCTTGTACGTATCCCTGCGCTGGGGTGCAGCTCACGCTGTAGGCCAAGTGCAGGTGTGTGAGCTGTTAATGGCGCAGTACTGATGGAGGAGCACATGGTAACAGGGGAGTTAAAGAAATCAGCCAAGGAATGAGGATTGATGGCCTCGGGGACTGTGTGTGGCACATTGTTAGGCATTTGGAAATGCTTAATAAGGGTTGAGAAGAGAATATGGAATCAAGTGTTCTGATCATCCCTCTCATTGTTTATGAGGTGCCTTTTGAGAACGAGACAAAGTGTGTGATAGATCTGTGTACTGTCGATCATGTGTTCGATTCCTTGCCTTAGTCATCGATATGTGATGTTGAACTCGACATTTGTAGAAGCTTTCTCACAGTGCCAGCAATGGCGGCAGTGACTTCGCCTTCCTCGCTCTGACGGCTTGTTTCCGAGAGATATGGTTGGTGGGCCTCTCAGCCCAACACGAGCCCAATTAATCGAAGCGCCACGCGGCACTGTTCGATGAAGGCCTATTCGTCGTGCGATGCGGTCTGATTCGATTGCCTCTCGGCCCAACTGGTTCCAAAGTCGAGCCCAACACGAGCCCGATTCAATTGAAGCGCGATTCGCTAATGTTACTTTTAAGGCCTATTCGGCATGCGATGCGGTCTGATTCGATCGTCTTGCGATGGATATATCTAAATTTGATGTGGAAGCGATGGATACAGTTTCCGCCCCCACCCTCTCCTCTTCACGAGACCACCGAGTCGCGCTCGAGGAGAACAAACGTTGTGCGGCACCGAGAGAGCAGTACTCGAAGCCGACTGTTTCCGCCCCCACCGTCCTCTTCACGAGACCACCGAGTCCAGCTCGAGGAGCACAAACGTTGTGCGGCACCGAAGTTGAAGCTTTTCGGGCCCAGACACCTATACGGATGTCGGAAGGCGGTACGTGGAGGAGCAAAAGGATGAACAGGGACCCTTCCCGATACATTGAACGCGTTCATCGGTACAAGGATGCTGCTGGCTCCTGTCTGGCATTTCGTCGATCACCATGCGGTCGTTGTCGCTGCCGTCCTGCGGTGGCTGCGACGGCGAGGACGACCCGTCCTCCCTGTGGAGCGTCGCCAGCATCCTCCAGTACCAGAAAGCCGGCGACTTGCTCATCGCCCTCGCATACTTCTCCATCCCGCTCGAGCTCTTCTACTTCGTCACCTGCTCCGATATCTTCCCCTTCCGCTGGGTCATCCTCCAGTTCGGGGCCTTCATCGTGCTCTGCAGCCTCAGCCACCTCGCCGCCGCCTTCACCTACGCCCCCCACTCGTTCCTTCTGTTCCTCACCCTCACCGTCCTCAAGTTCCTCACTGCGCTCGTCTCCCTCGCCACCGCCATCTCCCTCGTCGCGCTCATCCCGCAGCTGCTCCGCCTCTTCGTCCGCGAAGGCCTCCTCCGCCAGAAGGCGCGCGAGCTCGACCGCGATCTCGGCCTCATGCGCCGCCAGGAGGAGGCCGCGTGGCGCGTTCCCATGCTCACCGCCGAGATACGCCGTTCCCTCGACCGGAACACCATCCTCGACACCACTCTGGTCCAGCTCTCGGCCGCGCTCTCGCTCCGTGAGTGCGCCATATGGATGCCCACCTCGCCTTCCTCCATGTCCCTAACCCACCAGCTCCACAGCGGTCCCCGCCCGCCGGCGTCCGTTTCCACGGACGACGCCGATGTCATCGAGATTATGTCACGTAACGGCGTGGTGATTCTGGACCCAAAATCCAATCTTGTGCGGGCCGCGATGGCGAGCGAGGCTGTTGGCCGGGTGGCGGCCACTCGGGTGCCTCTGCTTAAAGTGTCCCATTTCAATGATGAGAGCATGGAGGCATCGCATGCTATTCTCATTCTGGTGCTTCCCGATGGAGAAGTCAGGGAGTGGACCTCTCACGAGCTCGAGACAGTGGAGGTTGTCGCGGACCAGGTGGCCGTCGCGCTCTCCCATGCTGCTATTCTTGAGGATTCTTTGCTCATAAGGGAGAAGCTTCTGGAGCAGAACATGGTCCTCAACCGTGCCCGCCATGATGCTCTGCTTGCGAGAGAGGCCCGAGAGTCATTCAAGTGCTTTATGACTCGGGAAATCATCGGGCCAATACGCTCGATCGGTGCCATCTTTTCACTGTTGCAAGTTGAGAAGCTGAGTCCTCAGCAACTGGGAATGGTGACAACCGGGCTCACCTTGTCATCTCTGATCGGGGAAGCGGCCAACATCTCTGGGTTTGAGGAGGGAGAGCTGGAGCTGATCTTGCAACAGTTTCATGTTCGTGCAATTCTAGAAGAAGCTGTGACCATGTCGAGGCTGTTGTGTGCTTGCCGAGGTGTGCACTTTAAATTTGAAGTATCCGGCCAAGTTCACAGAGCTGTAGTTGGGGACACGAAGCGGATACTTCAGGCTCTTTGGTGCATGCTTGGAAATGTCTTGGGCTTTGGTGATTGCAGGGCCATCTTCCTCCAAGTCCTAGTAGAAAGTAGCATGCAGGATGACATTTCGATAAGCAAGTATGGGGTCATGCAACAGGGTCTAGAAGAGGGTACAGTTGTGCTGAAGTTTGAAGTTAGAAGAATTGGTATCAAAAGAAAAGACAACAACATTGCTCACAGCAAGCATGGACCTGATATTGGTGATCCTGGGATTAGCTTCGCTATATGCGAGAAGCTGGCAAGAGTGAGTATGTTTGGTTCCTTAATTCATTAGAAGTATATATTACTAAACTTATCTTTTATCTCGCTTAATTTTTGCCCTACATAATTTGGATACAATTATAATTGTGCTCATCACCACATGTCTGAATCCTCATGTCCATCTAGTTCTTCCAAAATTTCTCGCAGGTGAATTGGTATACTTGGAAGTGTGTACATTGAAGTCATAGTATGTGCCAGTTGGCTATGCATTTAGGGCACTTAAAAAGGCTAGTCCTTAACATCGAGTCTTTTTATATTTCCAGGTTGACTGCTATATATTTATCCATGTATCTTGTGATCACCGGAAAGAAATTAGTAAAAAGCGAAAAAGCTTCGAGTATACTAGAAACGAGAGTTATACTTTTCGTCACAAACTTATTAACTTCCTTTTTTTATCATTTACAAAACTACACAACAAGAGTTATATTCCTTCTTTTATTGGAGTATTAGCTACATTCTAATTTGGAGCCAAGGGAATCCAATTGACTAAAGTTCGCTTCATACAATCTGCTGTATGGAATACTTGTTTTAAGGAGTATTAAACATTATATGTGTCTTATTTATTTGAAAATCTGGAATTCTAGTTAAGCTTAAACCTTTTACTTGTCCTTTCAATTTCTAGCCTTACTGATCTTAACTCGAGGCAAGGGCTTTCCTCATTCAGTGCTATTGATACTTAATATTGGTGTGTTGTTATATGCAGCTTATGCACGGGAGCTTTTCTGCTCTTCCAGAAGCTGCATACGAGGAGAGTTTTCAGCTGCTCATCAGATTACCATGTCCTCGATCAAGGGATGAACTACTAATGACAAGGCACACTGATATTGAGAGTTGTCCATTCAAAGGAATGAGAGTTCTGCTGATGGACATCGATCGATCCAGTATAGTAATCACCAAATTGCTTCTTGAGAAACTTGGATGTCATCTTACTACAGTGCATTCATGGCGCCACGGTGTCCATATGATGGGAAGCCAATTCCACCTATTACTTATTGATGATAAAATTCTTGAGAACAATAGGCACGAAGTTGCTTCTCGCATAAAACAACTTAGTAGCAAGAGCTGGCCGCTGTTTGTTGCGTTAACACCTAATGCTGACAGGAAGACAAAAGAAAGATGCCTTCAGGATGGGATGCATGGTGTATTATGCAAACCAGTCATATTGAAGCAGATGATAGATGAGTTGCAGAGAATCACCCAGCAACTACAAATTCCACATCCTTTGTTGATGACGCAGCAAAATTAGGAGACCAATGCTTTCAAATAGGAAACGGTCAGTAGAAAGCAAAGATCCAGAGCTATATGGATCCACATATTTGGTGTAGGATCATTGCTTTGGTAGTAATGGTTTACAACAACTGGTGGTAGGACTGTGCAGATCTTGTAAATGCAAGTAAAATGGATCTTTCTTTAGCTAGCTGTAGCTCTTTTCTGTTTAGGTTTTTTCCTGAAAGACTTATTGTGGGGTGTTGATATCAATGTTTTCTTTACCATGCTTTCTTCTTTTTATGCAGCAACTGCTGTCATCAAATTTCTCAGACTGGACCTGATATTGTTTGGTATTTTCTTACTCATACTAACATCTTCATGGTAATTTAAGAAGCAGATTGGCCATGCTTAAAGAAACTGTGATCAGGAAGGATCATTAAATCATTAGCGAGTTATGATTGTTCATGTTATTGATAGATTCTATGCAGAGTAGGAGCACCAAGAGACTGTGACACAGCTCTCTAATGGAGGAACAGCAAGCCCTTGTTGATTCTTTGGATGGAAGTGACGATGGTTGCATCCTATCTGGTAACTCAAACAGCATGCACACTTCCATATCTTCTCCATCCTGAAGACTACTCAGTGACACTGAAGGATGTATGAATATTGGTATACAATCTAATCTTCTCCTCATTTCTCTTAGTGAAGGGAGAGCTGCTAAAGTCAAACTATGTTCCATTGACTTCGTGGTCTTACCCTCAAGAAAAAATAAGAACAAAAAGAGAATAATAATTTGACATCGTCATGATGTATGAGTTGGTATGCTGCTACTGTTTGATCTCCTAAATCTCTTCGTCTTCGGTATGTCCTGTGTGTCCATGGCGAACTCACACCATTACATTCCTGCATGAGGATTCGTGGAGACCGGTATGGGTGACCCCTCGCTTTCCTCCTTTCCCGTCAAAGACGAGACTGCTTCCTCCCTGGTCTTCACGGCGCCTGCTTCAGCACAGCCATGGCTCACATTTCTGGGGCTCACCGCCCCGGTAATGACTTCGCACAGAGCTCTGTCTTCCTCTCCGGGCTCCAGCTTCTGCATCAGATACTCCTTCATGGAGACCCCCTTGTCCCACACTTGCTTGGCGACCATCTCGTACCTTGGACTCGATCCCTGGAACTTGGAGGCTATTGCTTGGGTCGCCTCCGACACCGCAGCGTACGCCGGCGTGAGCATCTCCGTTACCGTCTCGCTCAGGGTCTTATTGCTGTTGCCGGCTGGTTTTTGATCCATGGACTCATCCTTCATGGGAGCCTTGTCGATGGCAGCAGGCACTACAGTCGTGTCTGGTATGGGTCGATCCTTGACTGCGCCGAGGTGGTCGTCCGACGCCGGTTGCTCACTACGCACTTCATCCTTCTGCATCGTCTCCGATTCCTCGTCTGTCGTACTGAGTAGAGTAACTGTTGATTTCACCTGCGGACTCGAATGATTCGCTGGAGCAGAGTCAACGGCAGGAGCATACGGTGCCGTCTCTGACTCGGACACTGACATCACAGGCATCAAATCAACCCATGCTATCTTCTCAATTCCAATTCCAAAGAGAGGAGGACGTGTCGACTGTTCTTACCCGAGGCGCCATGGTGGCGGGGATGTTCGTCTTCTTCTTCGAGCCCCGCGTCCAAGCTAACTCCCCAGGGTGGTGTGGGGTTGTGTTTCCCCTGCCCATGTCTCTTCTTCAGAAGCATCTGCCTCCACTTCCTTGCCTTCTCCTTCACCTTCACCAGCACCGACTTCTTCGCATGGTGGTGGTGGTAGTCTTCATGGTCGTAGAATTCCCTGAAGGTTGGCGTCGTCGGCGCCGACCAATGTCCACGCGGAGACGACACACCTTCATACGCGTTGCCTCTTCATCTAAATCAGTAGCAGCGATCAAGGAAAACAAGGATCTCAAACATGCAGAAAGAGTGAAACCTTTATGCGGGTGCAGATTGCTGGCCGGAAGATGGTGTTTCCCCGGACAGTAGTCAAGAAAATGTAATCTGTTCCTCCCTGATTGAGCCATTTGCGTTTTCTCTCTTCCCTTCCTGGACTTGAGCAACGCGAGAGGTCTCATCAACTCGCAAAAGAAGCATGGAGGGATCGCACCGCATTTAAGCAGGGAAGGAGCGGCAAAAGCTTGCCAAGTTTGAGGAGGTTTGGGTGGTGCGGAGAAGGTGGCATTTCTTGACCACCCTTCGTCGAGCCGTGCCTGTGTGGACCATTGAAGACTCTCTACACGAATTCGGCAACCCATAATCTCTCTCTCTCTCTCTCTCTCTACATATATGTATATGTATATATACATATACACACACACACACACACACACACACACACACATATATATATATATATATATATATATATATATATATATATATATATATATATATATATATATATATATATATGTATGTATATATATATATATATGTATGTATATATATATATATGTATGTATATATATATATATGTATGTATATATATATATATATGTATTTATATATATGTATTTATATATATATATATATGTATATATATATATATATATATGTATTTATATATATATATATATATATGTATATATATATATATATATGTATATATATATATATATGTATATATATATATATATGTATATATATATATGTATATATATATGTATATGTATATGTATATGTATATGTATATGTATATGTATATGTATATGTATATGTATATGTATATGTATATGTATATGTATATGTATATGTATATGTATATGTATGTATATATATATATATGTATATATATATATGGATCTTTTAAATTTAATAATTTTCTTAGAAAATATTCACATTTTAGATTTTCTCAATCGGTACTTCTTCTTTTATTTTTTTAAATTATACCTCTAATTTAAAATATTTAAATTATCATTAAAAAATTTTCACTTGTTATAATATTTTGATCATCACAATTAAAAACACAATAAATCTATTTAAAAATATTATAAATGAGCCAAATAGAATCAAAATACACTAAAAATTACTTAATATATCATTTTATGATTTAAGTATTTATAATAGTTTATGAATAATATCATCTAAATAAAAATAAAAAATTAACTTGTTACAGTCTTTTGATCATCACAATAAAAACATTATAAAACCTACTCAAAAATAGATCTGAATATATTTATAGCCTCAACCAAACCAACTCTAAGCCTAAAAAATGGCATCACAATAATCTACAAGCAATGATAACCAAAGTAAATTATAATATTTTTTAATAATATTTATATATTTTTAGTATTTTAATAAAAAATATAATAAACAATATAAATGACACAAATGAAAACACAGTCTGATAAAAAAAAGGGTAAAATTTTTGATATTTTTTTTAGACATATTGTGGGTATTTTTAAAATTAGAGACATTGTTTGAAAATAAAATAAAATGAGGAAAATATTCATAGTGAATGATCATAGTGTTGTTCATAAAAATATTCTTTTAATATATATCATTAATTTCATCATAATTAATAACAGTAGGTAACCAAATCTTATAGATTTAGCTAATCTCAAAAGACACAATTTATTTTAATGCATATATTCCACTAAAGAATTTTTTATTATTATAATGTAAATGTTTTTGGATATTTATTCATGACGCGTGCTTCTATTTGCCTCTCGGGGAACCGACCGCAAGGCCACACAAGATACGCACAAACCAAGCGAAGTGCATCGAACACTGTCCACAGGGGAACCCATTAGCCGCATCTCTTCTGTATAAGACGCCGAAGCAGCAGCACCCTTCACTCCTTTCGTCCCCAGCAAATCGAGCCTTGAAGGAGAAAGTGGTGTCAGATCTAGCCCTAGAAACATGGAGCAGCAGCTATTGACGAGGCTGGAGGCGGCGGTGGCGCGGCTGGAGGCCCTTGCATCCGCCGGATCCGCTCCCTCGGCCTCGTCGAGAGATCTAACCAACGCGGCGCCCCTGGATCCCGCTATCTCCGCGTTCGACGAGATGGTCGCCAACTCCCTCGGCCGGGTCTCCGCGGCCGCCGGCAAGATCGGAGGGCAGGTCGTCGATGCCACAAAGACTATCGAGGAAGCGTTCACGGTGCTGAAGGAGCTCCTCATCACTGCCAAACAACGCCAGGTTGGTCGCATCCGATCCGATCTATTCTTCCTTTTACTGGCGCACCATCTGATTCGATGCGGTAGACTCGGTGATTCACTTGAAATACCTGTCATCCCATCCTTGTTTCTTGGGATACCTCTCTTTCTGGTTTATTTCCTTCGAATTAGTTTCTTTACAGTCTCCACTTATGTAACGGTATAGAGCAGCAAGGAATATTTCACATCGGATATTAGTTAGGTCTATGTGTCGTATCCGATCGTAGCCCGGTCTATTTTGTCTTCTTTAAGAGTAGCTCATGACATTAATGGTCACAATTCAAACACTTTGATGACAAGGAATGCTTTAATAATGATATAGTAAAATTAAACTCTAATTGTTACCTTGCCTTTAATCTCGAGACCGGTATCGAGTTAAATGTGAACTGTTTTGTCGTCTATTTGATTCACTTGTTCATTTTTTTCTTAAACATTTGTGACAGTGAGTATGGTCTCTCTATATATTATTAGTGCTTAAGGATCCTTGGCGTTTGATCAAAACTTCTCATTGATGCCACAGAAGCCAGACGTTGCTGGTTTACCAGAGTTTTTGAAGCCATTGAATGACGTGATTCTCAAAGCAAATTCCATGGCAGAAGGAAAGCGATCTGAATATTTTAACCATTTGAAGGCAGCTTCTGATAGTCTAACAGCATTGGCTTGGATAGCTTACATGGGAAAAGATTGTGGTTAGTGCATTTGTAACCTTGCTCTTTCTCCCCTTTTCTGTTGTGATCTGTTTTTGCATTTTGATATGTTGTACTTAAGTTCTTTCCTTTCTTGAAATTTATTGGCTTCCTCCCAGGCATGAGCATGCCAATAGCTCATGTGGAAGAAAGTTGGCAGATGGCAGAATTCTACAATAATAAGGTATGCTTAAGTGATAAATATCACCATGAAAGTGATCTGAAAGTTCACCAATGACAAAATTCTCATAAACTAAAAGAAATGCAGACACATTTATTTATGCACTCATGTCATACCGTTGAATAGGTAATTAAAAGGTTATCACCAATGGCTGAACAATATCTGCATAATTATGCAACAAAATTTTGACTATAAGAAGTTTATGGCTGTTTGGACCTATTTTGATGTCCTTAAATTAGTCCTTCTAACCTTGCACTTTCTATGCAATTGTCATAAGTTTAAATGATACCATTATTGTGTTACCTAGCTATAGTGTATATAATTCCTCAGCTAAGGTCAACTGATGAAACTCTGTACTGTGTCCCACAAGTCACCAGGCTCTTACAACAGACACTGGTGATACTAATTGTTTATAAAGTGCATTCTTTTGCTGATTGATCAAATTCTATTATCATATGAGATGTAGCTAAGACTATTAAAATTCTATTATCATATGAGATGTAGCTAAGACTATTGGAGTTTGTATTGGGGATTGTTGCTGATTTAGTGCATGCAGAAAATACTATAACTTGGTCATTCTAGTCAGTATGAATCACTTGGTGCAGCCAACTGCTACCTTGTAGATGTTGGTCAATTACAAACTTGGGTTTTTAAAAATCACTTAACTTTTGTAGGTCAGATTGTCTAAAAAACATGTAACGATAGATCTGTCATGCTCAAGATGACCTACAGATCATACCTATAAGCTTAGCTCTCTGTATCCCAAGTTAAGATTTTTTATGGGGCTCTAGTTTTGTCCGATCAGTTGAAGTTTGATATCAGTTACATTGGACGTTATTTTTAGATATATTGTATTGTTATGGAAAAGCAAAAAAAAAAGAAAAATCTAATAACTAGCACTTGGTGCCATCATATGAGTGTACCTATTATAGAAGGAATAATTAATTATTCAAAACTAAGATTTCATGTGTCTATTCATAAAATTGATGGTCAACAGCCAAAAATTATGTTCTACATGATGTTCATGTTTGACGATGTAGAGTTTTCTTGGTTAAGTTCTCTACCAGAGGAAACCAGTTTGTGGCATATCTCATATTCTTACATTATCTACTGTTTTCAACAAATATGCACTCTAGATGCATCAGATTAGTTCCCTAGAATTTCATCAATAACAACAGTTTATTCTTGAAAGAACAACTTCCATCATTCCATTTTCAGATTCTTGTGGAGTACAGAAATAAGAATCCGGACCATGTAGAGTGGGCAAAAGCTTTAAAGGAGTTATATCTGCCAGGCCTACGGGACTATGTGAAAAGTTTTTATCCCTTGGGTCCTGCTTGGGGTACAGTTGCAGTTGTTTCTTCATCATCATCCTCTTCTGCCATCACCAAAGTTCCTGCTGCAAGGGCCCCTGCTCCACCACCTCCACCCGCAACACCACTTTTTAGCCCAGAAACTACATCATCACGTCCTAAAGAAGGAATGTCTGCTGTCTTTGAAGAGATTAGCTCTGGAAAATCGACAACTGCAGGTACATAAACATAAACTATTAAGTTGTACTTTTTGACTGTGAGGTAGTGGGTGAATGGCATTTGGCCTCTACTTGTTAGGCCTGAGGAAAGTTACGGATGACATGAAGACCAAAAACCGGGCTGATAGAACTGGTGTCATAGCTGCAACAGAGAAAAGTCCTCGTGCCAATTCATTTTCATTTTCTAGAGCACCCCCGAAGTTGGAGCTTCAGATGGGTCGCAAGTGAGGATGCGTTCATCCTTCTTTCTAATATATAGTCTGCACTTCTATAGTTTTACTAGACTTATAGAACTTTCCTTTTCTTTAATTGTTATATTTGTGTAGCATTTATTATCAGTAAACATATATGGCAGATGGGCGGTCGAAAATCAGATTGGAAAGAAGAATTTGGTTATAGATGACTGTGACTCAAAGCAGTCTGTATACATATTTGGGTGCAAGGATTCTGTTTTACAAGTAAAAGGTAATCCTTAGGTTTCTGTTTTCATTTTTAGGTTCTTTTCTAATTTTTATGCTTTTAGAAATATGATTGGCCTCTCCATGTATATGTTTGAAAATTTGATTAATATTTGCAGGAAAAGTGAACAACATAACTGTTGATAAATGCAACAAAATGGGAATTGTTTTTACAGTAAGTTAAGAAATTTGGCTATCCCAAAAAGAAAAACAAGGCTTTCATAATTATATGCTTGTCTTGTCTATAATTCTGCGATATGATGTTTAAAGTTCCTTTTGTGGTTGTCATTTAGGATGTTGTCGCAGCTTGTGAAGTTGTGAATTGCAATGGTGTTGAGGTGCAATGTCAGGTACCTGAGCATCTCTTGTTACTTGTAAAATTGAGAAAAAAATTAATTCAAACTATCCAGTGCAGCAAACTCATTAAAGAAAGCTGAGAAGCTGTTCGATTGAGTTTTTCTAGTAACCTTTGATTTAGAAGAGCATTGTAGGAGTTACTGTAGGAAGATAGTAATTTTTATTGTTTTCTTTTGGAAAAAAATAATTTTTCAGATTCCAGCAACCCATGCTGGCTAATGTAATGTGCAGGCAGGCTATGCAAATAAACTCTAGGCTATTATCTTTAGAACAGAGACATCCAATATTCTTTTTCTCCAATGGAAAAAAATTGATATCTTAGTTTCCAATGTCACTTTTGCAAACTAAGCCAAATATGTGCAGGGTTCAGCACCAACTATATCTGTTGACAACACTTCTGGTTGCCAATTATATCTAAGCAGTTCTTCATTGGGGGCTTCTATAACCACAGCTAAATCAAGTGAAATTAATGTGCTAGTTCCTGGTGCTGGCCCTGACAGTGACTGGGTAAGATTCTTTCACGTTTTCTTGATATTTATCTTTTGCCTTTCTTACTTTGCAGACAGAATGAAACCATATCATTTACCTTATCTACCAATTAGCTATTAAAGTAAGTCTTGTCATCATGGTGAGATTGCTCCTTTATCCGCTGGGTGTTTACTACAAGCTTGATGTCTCTATTTCTGTTCTTTTTTTGCACTGAATGTCCACTTGATTGTAACATTAATAACCAAATTACCAATGTAAGTTGGTAGTGATCTTCACCTCCTTCTAGCCTCGTTTATATTATTTGTTTAGTTGAAAAAAATTAGGACGGCTGAGATAGGGATTGCAATTTCAACTGGGATCTACAGAGTACCAAATTGATTTAGCCCGATCAAGTTGGTTTTCACTAGCTTGGACTGACAAGTGGGAGAGTTTTATGGCATAATTTTCAAAATCTGATCGGGCTGGGTCGGGATTGGATGACTTGTTTTGCCACTGATCCATCCCACAGAAATCACTAGCTTTGACTGAGAAACAGGAGGGTTTTATGGCATAATTTCAAAATATGATTGGGCAGTATCCGGATTGCATGACTTATTTTGCCATGAATCCACCTCACAGAAAGATTTCATTTACTATATTGCAAATAAAATTAAAATATGCCAATATTATTACATCAATTTTCACAGTATATTCATATCAGAGCAGAACAGGAAAAGATGATAAGGATGGGTTTTTTGTTGGTTGAGTATGGTTTTATTTTTCTTAATTTTGATTATATGCTGTCTTATCCTTCTAAATAAGGGACTATTTATATTGCTCGAACTTTGGAGGAGCAATTGATTTTGGAAATCTAACCCTCTACCTTGGTTTCTATTCCAAATGCTAAAACCGGAATTGCATTCTTGACATATTTGTCCGAAACCAACCCTACATATGAAATTCTATGATATATTGTCATGATAATAATGAGTAACTAATATATTTTAGAACTTCTTCTCAAACATTGCTGCTTACGATTGTAGGTTGAGCATTCATTGCCACAGCAGTTTGTCCACACCTTCAAAGATGGCGAGATGAGAACATCACCAGTCTCTCACTCTGGAGCGTAGACACATGCTTGTTAACAAGCTTTTTCCTATGCCCTTGTGGAGTATTTTTTTATCATGTTGAGAAGAGTGCCAAGAACAGAACATTCTGTGTGTTTTTGTTGTTGTAAGTTTCCATTCATCTCTGCAGTTATGCAGTCCAAGCTTGTCCCTATTATGCTACTCTTTGTCATGGTCACCGATCGCAATACTTGTCACCGGTTTCCTGCCTAACCCAAATCTCATCTTCATCTGTTCTCACAGGATAGGTTTACTGTTATGTGGTCAAACAGCGCATTTTGTTGTGGTTATGATTATAATGAGTTTTATGCTATGATGAAATTGATGCTGAAAAGAAAGCATGTGTTTTGACAAACAATAAGTCTTGTGTGTCTTCTTCATCTTTGTTCATTCATTACTAATGGTTGAGCCATCAGCTTCACGGAACCATGGTGCCTTTAATGAGATTGAATTATGAGTGCCTTTCTTTTTCCTAACACATGTCATTCCTCAGTTGTTGATGGGCTGTCTGCAAGTTGCATGCTAGTCCATAAACCACAACATCGAGCACACATCTACTCCTTGCGAGTGGTGCTTGATTGATTGCTCATCTAGTCTTATAATAATGCATGAATCACTTGCTTCTGCACTGAACTCTCTCCTCTAATTATTGTTCATATCTCTCTACATACCATTTCTTGTTCCAAGAGGCTTGAGAGGGGTCAGCTCTTTTCAAGCTTTACTTTCCATAACGTGCCTTTACCTTAACATATATATTTCTGTTGCTTTCAGTTTGGTATATGTAACTAGTCGAAGTTATTAGAATTATTGAGCTAAATGGGTCCACAGGTTTAGAGACTGAAAGAGCCACAACCTGTTGCAGGTCCACCCAGAATGCAACACTCGATCAGACCAGGTTTTGTGATGCTGGTAATTTGTTCTTAAATCAATTTATTTGCTTCTCCTCCTTTTCATTACAATAACTCGAGTTTCTTGTTTTTGCTTACAGAGTAGCTTCTGTGGCAGAGTTGATGCATGCCTTATGATTCAAGTAATCCAATCTCCCCCCTTATCATCACATTTTGAGTGTTTGGTTTCGTGCAATTTATTAAGATAATGAAATTAGAAGACCTTCAAAGATTTTAATTCCTATTAATTTCTCTTGCAAGCAACTGTTCCGTGATATCCGATGGCTCACGACGTACGTTACTCCTGTTATGTTTTCTCGCCCCCACCGCCTCCGGATGGCCCGGCGGCCTCCTGTTGTCCACCAGCTTCCAGAACTGTATTGTACTCTGGAAACACACCCAGAAGCCGCTGTATATATATTACCGTGGGTTATTCTCACGGGCTCTACCAACTTCACCATACGAGCACGCCTTCTCCTTACCTTCCTCTTAAAGCCCAACCACTCGTCGAAGAGCTGAGGCGCTTAGGTGCAGGTGATGGCGAAGCGGCGTCTTCTCCTCCTTCTTGCTCTCTTCCTCGCCTTCTCCTCT